AATTGCTTCCGACCTACCTGGAAGGCATACAACTAGCCTGCCGACGACATATCTCAACAATAACCTTCGGTCCCCTTAATATAATAGTTATTATAACGATTTTTTTTTTATTTAAATTATTTAAATACCTAATAATCTTTTTTAAAATATTTTATTTTACTATAATTAAAATATTTACAGTTATTTCTACTTTAGTCCTAGCTTTACGGCCTTTATTATTATATAATATTAATATTTATAAGTCCCGAATATATAATACCGGAGTAATTAATAATTAAGTATTACTATTTACGTTTATTATTAGAGCGGTAATTTCCGTAATAACCCCGATTATTATAATTTTTTTTTTATACGACGCTAGAATTATTTATCGTCGATCCGTATAGCTATAGCGATATACTTATCGATAGTATTAAGCCTTTCCTCCTTATATAACTTATCCTTTACTTTTTTTTTAAAGCTATTATAAGGGATTTATATTAACCCCTTATCGTTAATCTCGCTATATAAACTATCGATTTTAAATTAAGTAGTATATTCCGTTACTGAACGTATTTACCGTAAATTTATAAACCTCTCTTATACGCGCCTACCCTTATTGTATTTCCTAAATATTTTTTTAAACTTTACTTTAAAAACTCGGTAATTTCGAAAATACTAAATAGTAATTTCCTTCTAATCCTCCACCACTACCTTATAATAATTATTAAAAATAAATTCGAATTAAATAAAAGCTTTATCCTTAAGCCGGGTAGCTACGTATATTACTTTCGACTCTTCTATATCGAACTATTCCGGGTAATAACGAAAGTAAATTTTAAATTAAATTAAAAAACTTTTAAGCTTTACCTTTCCGCCTCTATAACGCTCTAATACCAGAAATTTAATTACGTACGTAGGCTTAACCGCCGAAAAAGTAAGAACCTACTCCCTAGTTTACTGGGCTTCGGCCTTAAACTTTTTAACGCGATCGATAAACTATTAAGCTATAGTAACCTTAGACCTAGCGTTTACCGTGGAAGGTCCCTCGATAGTTAAGTTAAGCGGGACGCCTTTTATTTAAACGTTTTCGGGTTAGGCTATAGTAGTAAAAAAATGCTTTTAATTTATCCGTAATAGAGTTAAAGTAAGTATATAACGTGTAATAAACCCCTATACAGAACCTTTAAAAGGGATATTAGTTAAAAGTAACTTCTAATAATTAATTCGGTATAGTTAAATAATATATAATAAAATATTTTAATATAAATACTAATTACCGTAAATATAAATTTAAATTATATACTACGGAACTATCTATTTACACTAGCTAGTTCCTCCGTATATATAGACTTTAGGGCCGTGAGGTGCTCGCCCTACTATAGGCCCGATTACTCCTAGCACATTACATCTATATTATACTCGTCGTACTATACCTCTAATTATCCCTAGCATCTTGCATCCTGCAGACTGCTCGTGAGCCTTAGCGCTATAGCACTTTTGCTTAGCCCTGATCGGCTTATTCCCTGACTTCCTAAATGATTAGCTAGGGGCGACCTGCGCCCCACATGTGGCGCGACCTGCCGTTAGGTTAACTGTGACAGGTTCCTCGAGCTTTTTAATATTATAGTATTTCCGTATTTTTTCCTTTATAAACTCTAATTTTTATTTAAATTTACTATAAAATATATATAATTTATTTACTCTAACTTTAGCCCTAAATACCTTAACGCTTAATCTTTACCGTAGGTTTACTTTATATTTAAAGTTTATAAAGAAGAATATAGTTTTTATTATTTTTATTAGTAACGTATTATATATTAATTATATTATAAGTAATAGTTTAATCTAATTATTTTACTCGAAATTAATATAATTCTGGAGGTACTATTTTACGATTTAGTTAAACCATTCCATTTAACCGTTTATGTAAGGGTAGTAGGCCGAAGACGCTTTACTTACTATCCCGAGCCTCATTATTAACGCTCTTTAAAACTTCGATACGAATTTAATATCGTGGTCCGTAATAAATTCCCTCAATTATATTAATATGTAGGTACTACTAAATGCCCTACTTACTGCCCTACAGATTAATATTATAGTGGGCAATACTGCTATAAGCAGTAATGGAACTTCCCGGCTTGGATCCCTTTAGAATATTCTTTATAAGGGACCCTTGAAGGCATATAGGGCTACTGTGGCCTAAAGCTTAGTCAATGGATACTAGAACCTTCCAAAGTGGCTACAGGCTTACGTAGTAAGTTGCTACAATAGTGTGATTTATAGGGCACTTTTGTTACCGAAGGTTCTATAGATTTCCGTAAGTTTACACTAGACCCACCTAAGCCCACCAAATACCCTAAAGTAGTATAGGGGCTTCTAGGGCCTACAGGCCCTACAGTAGGCCTACGAAGGCCTATATATAGACCTCTCCTCTCTCCTGTAGAATAGTTCTCTTTCTTTCTTTAAGGGCAAAAGCTTAAGGCTAAGGCCAAAAGCCAAGGCCAAGGGTAATAAAGGCAATTCTTATTCTTTATACCTTACTGTATTACAGTGCTTTACCTTCCTTCGGCACTGCCGTCGTATCCTCCCGCTTCCGCTTGCGCACTGCTGTATTTTACAGCAACCCTATATAGGTTCTATATTATAGGCCTATCAGGGCTCACCAGCTAACAAAATTAAAGTAAGTATATAACGTATAACGAACCTCTATATAGAACCTCTAAAAAGGATACTAATTAAAGGTTACTTTTAATAATTAATTCGGTATAACTAAATAGCGTATAATAAGATATCTCAATATAAATATAAAATACCGTAAATATAAGTTGTAATTATATACTACGGAACTATTTATTTATACTAGCCAGTTCCTCTGTATATATAGACCGGTTTATTATTATTATTACTAGTAATAATGTCGATTATCACTCGTCGTTCACCGAAGGCTAGTGATAATCGTAATTATCACCCTTGGCACTAGTAATAATCCGACTTTTCCACTTTTCCGTTTCAGTAGTTAGGCGGGTCGCGCCCCGCGCTCCCCACTTATGTTAGGTCCGTGACATGTACCGAACCAGGATTGTTCAGAAGTGCTTTCAAGCAGTGTCCCTTTCAGAAGTTCTAGATAGGGGTTCGTTACATTACTTTTACAGTAGTATAATTATTAAAGGAATTTATTAATAAAAAATGAAAATTTCAAATGCGTTTTTTAGTATGCTGTAATTGAGGTGATGGTAATGGCGAGGAGTATAATTCCCTTAAATGGAGTTTGTTTTATTAAACTTTGGGAAGATCGGCCCAAGCAAACAAAGCGGTTCAGTCGTTAGACGGGCAAATTACTGCTTGGCTTGAGTCGTTATAACCCCTGCGGGAGGCGCACCCCTGAATGACCCCTGAGTTTATGCGTAGGTACATTAACCCGTGATGCCTTGACTTTGATACAACACTGGTATCGCAACACAGTTAGAAATGAAAACCATCGTTCCTGTTCGTATCGTGGCAGAGTCGATGGCATTGAAGAAGTGGGTTGGCTGAATCCTCTTTATGGAGTCATTGACTCCAGTCTATGACGACAGTTAACATTCGTCATGGCATCATCACGGCCGATGCCAACCAACAGAAAGCCACCACAGAATTAACTATACACAAAGGCCAAATGGGTCAACCAGTTAGAAATGGACTATTTCATCGCCCAAGACGAACGCTCCCGTCAAGAACGGAAAGAAGACACCGAAGAAACACAAAAGACCATCACCACCGCCAACAACACCACGCCTCAAGATGTCAAAGATGATGCCCACTCTGGAACTCAATCCTCACAAACGGATTCCCCTTCTCAAAATCAAAACACACCACCCCGATCATGAGCCACAGCTCCCCATTAGCGACACAAAGTCTCACCCCACCCGTCCATCAGCCTCCGACCTACCAGACCCCTCCCCATCAAACAACACCGGCACCATCTACTTCATCGGCACCGCCACCACCATCCTCTCCTGGCACGGCGCCCGCATCCTAACCGATCCCAACTTCCTCCACGCCGGCGACCACGTCCACCTCGGCCCAGGCGTCACCTCGGAACGTCTCACCGATCCCGCAGTAGACATCAACGCCCTCCCACCCCTAGATTACATCCTCCTATCCCACTACCACGAAGACCACTTCGACCGCCTAGTCGAAGACTCCCTCAGCCGCCAATTCCCCATCATCTCCACCCCCCACGCCAAATCCTGCCTCACCTCCCCTTCCAAACCAGAGCCCTTCCAGAACGTCACTGCCCTGGACTTTTTCGACTCCCTAATCATGCCCATCGTTCAGCCCACCTCCACCAACAGCAACGGCAAAACCCCTCAAATCAAAGTAACAGCCATGCCAGGGAAACACGTCCCCCCCGGCCCCCTCGCCGTCGCCAACGACCTCCTCGGCGCTGTCCCACCCACCAACGGCTGGCTTCTAGAACTGGGATACACCACCTCATCCGAAACAGCACAAAACACCCAAGTAGGCTACAGGATCTACATCTCGGGTGACACCCTCCTCATCGACGAGCTGAAGCAGATCCCACAATGGCTTCACGGAGAAAAGATCGACCTGATGCTTGTCCACCTTGGCGGGACGACGATCCCGGGTGCAAAGATGCCGCTCTTGATGGTGACAATGGATGGGGTGCAAGGGGTGAAACTCATGAAGATGATGAAGCCCGACATCACCATCCCAATTCACTATGATGACTATGACGTGATGGTGTCGGGGCTGGATGACTTCAAAAAGGAGGTCAACGGCGCAGGGTTGCAGGACAAAGTCGTGTATCTGGATAGGGGGGAGGAGTATCAGTTTCAGGTCAGGGGGCTATAACTGAAAAGAAACAAAAAAAACTTTCAATGGTCTTAAAGTCAATGTTCGTATTCGCTAGCAATAAAGATGATGGTATCATAACACTCCGTCCCAAACTACAACTAATTCGCACAAGCATTCTGTCTCTCCTTTGGCCATGGCGCTGTTGCGTCTATTCAGGGAGCTCAAGCCCTCATGGGGGCCTGTCCCTGATAGCCCATCTTGTCCGGCACACCTCCCTGCATCGCGTCCCTGCGCTTCTCCACCTCCTTGTGCGACTGGATCACACCGCAGCAAGGGCAGCAGCAGGCGACAAGACAGTCGGTGCACCCGCTTCCCTCGATTCTATGCTTGGATCGGACCTCTCCACGCTGAAGGCATTCGAGACTGTGTTGCACAACAAGTCAGTACAGGTGCTGTTGGGAGAAAGCCATGAGGAAGAGGTTACTAACATCCATCCCCAGCCGCCACAAAAGTTCAAGCCACACCAGGCACATCCCCACATGCCACATCCGCTAGGTGAAGGGTTCGAGGGGTTCTCGAGAAGCTCATGAGTCTTGTTCACCACTGTCCACCCATATGGTCAGCCACTAATCGATACACACCAAGCAATGGGTGAGGAGAGTTGAATGAATGGCAAGACTCACGAATACAAGGGCAGCAGCACCCCATCCAGAAGTGCCCACCAGAGCAACATCCACAGAGGCCATCTTGCCACTCTCCTTCCTTGATGACGGTGGGTTGGTGAGACATGATGTGTTCGATATCAGATCCGGTGGGCAACGTTACGTAGAGATGTCGTGTACGGGATAAGTACGAGAGGTAATCGGGTAACAACGGTGACGACGGTGTTCTTGGCATCAACCAACAGGATCCGAGACAAGAAAAGAAACTCAATTCCAGTTTTCCTGGGGAAAAAGGGGGGAACTCGGTTCATTTTAAACCATTAGCCCTGGGGGTCGGTCTCTGTCGTTACACAGCAGCAGCAGCTGCTGCACCCTTGACTGCGCCATGTGTGAGGATCACACTTCGGACTGAGAGTTATTAGGTAGGAGGGGACAAAGAGGGACCCCGGCTTGCGGCTGATGAATGGGACCTGTGCTGTGATGGTCAGAAGGGAAATGATGTGTCGTTAGTTGACGGCTTGGGCTGTAATGTTGGCCTTGGCCGCGGCTCGTGATCATGTATGTCTAACCGTTTTGGAAAATGCGGTGCGAGACAACAGAGAAGGTCGCAGCCAAAGGCCTGCTGCCTCTTCGCATTGTTTTCTCATTTCAACGTCGAACCGCAAAGGTCTGCCAAGAGCTGGGGAAACGGCAGTGGCTTTTGGTTGTCTGGGAAGCTCGGTCTTGTGAAGGGGCGTTGGTGGGCTGGAGCCTTGCGACTCGGACTCGTAGAAGTGTTGGATCATCGGAGGATGGAACTTTGGTCAGGTATCGTGGCAAGCCAGCGACTCCTTGCCTGACTGAACACCTTCATTTTGAGTTTCTCTGTATCCAAGAACTGTCAGCTTACGAGTCAGCTAAGAATTTTCTTCACCTCAATTCTCCATTCTAGAAATGTTTCCTCAACGAGGCTCGCAGCAGTTGATGAGATGGTGGGGCTTGGCTTTGGAACCATTGAGACCACCCGCACAACGCCCCCACAATTGACAGCAGATCATGCAGGGTCCCGTCGTACCTGATGGTTTGGGACCTCCCAACTGCGACCAAAAACAAACTGAACAGTTATTTCGTCGTAGAAAAAATCAGACTCGAAAGGGATTGAGGTAGGTAGTCAATACCTACTGACCTAAGGAAGTGTCGGGGTCCTTTTTCATTGACAAAACACCCGAGAGCACCTTGCGGGGAAAGCAGATCACTGCATTCCCCCCACAGGTAGGGCTGCTAGCGCACGGCCCAACCGCTGTGCCGGAAATAGCCCACTGTGCTACTCATCACTTAACGAGGCTCGGATGAATATCAATGCCCGCTTCTCCATGAATGACATGATTGAGCCGCCAGCCTACCGCTGATGACCTCCGAAACAGATCTATATCTCCCAGTCGGCCGAACCACGGTTCCTCGAGAGATATACATGGAAATATCTTTCTTGGCGTAACCAAGAGATGAAGCTCTCGATACGAAGGCCTGTTGTCAGGGTCACAAGTGGGTGAGGGTAACATGCGGTGGTATTCGCCGTGGTGTCACCTCAAGGCCGCCTCAGCCGCACCCCGGAGAGGTGACACAAAGTTCTGACCTCTTTGTCAATCTGAAACCATGCTTTGTTGATTGCAATGTGCCATAATCTATCTACTCATCACCACCATTACTTTTATTGACCTCGAAATATCACCACATGCGTTTCCGGGAGCCAACGATGTAGTCATGAAGTGAGGCCCTACACAATTACGAAGCCCCAGAACGGATATGCCCATGTATGGTTCAAGATCTCGTCACGGCTGGTCGCTGCAGGTGCATGTCAGGTCTGATACAGTGTATACGTTCGGATTGCTGCAATGTCTACCTCCATTGTCCCCCCATTACACAACAAAATTTACATCCATGCAGATCTTCTTTACAATACCTATCCGCATCCCATCTTTACTATGCCAACTAGTGATCAGCCTGCGATTTACCCAGATTCCCAACAAGGCAGGCCAACAACGCCAAACCCCCACCACCACCAGGTTGTGAGCTCATCTCATTCTTTATAACAAACCCCTCCTCCACGGTGCACTCTCTTTCCTCAACACAGCTCTTTCCCTGCCCACACTCCTTCATCATGACATGGTTGTTCTGATCGACAGAGTTCTCCTTCTCAGTAGACACCTCCCCCTCAATCTGCTTCTCCACAATGCACTCCTTCTCCTGAACAATATCCTTCTCCTGAACAATATCCTTCTCCTGAACAATATCCTTCCTCTGAACATACTTCTCCTCCAATACCTCGTTCTCGGGAGAAAACTCCTTCTTTTCACTATCGCCATCCGCATCGCGACACATCAGCCAGTCATATGCCTCTTGATTGATCTTCCGAGTGGTGGATCTGCGGTAAAACTCCTCGTTTCTCTTGTGCTGAGCGGCCAAGGCCTCGGTAGCCTTGCGGTGCAACAGAGCCGACTGATCGATCTCGTCCAGGTCGTCATACGCCATCGTGGGCCAGTCGTCAGACAACGAAGTAGACCAATCCTCATTGTCGGGGATTTCGGCATGCAGCCAAACAACCTGTCCATTCCCGCTGCAAAGATCGTTCCCATCCCCATTCTCACTGATAGCGGATGGTGAGCGGTCCATGCAGGCAGCGTACATCCGGCGAAGATGCTCACTTCGGTGCTTGAAATGCTCGGAATACGGCATATCTCCAGACATCAGGATTATCTCCCCTAAACGCGCTCTGGTTAGAGCCACGCACAACCTATTAGGATCGTCAAGAAAATCAGTCGATCTCTCCTTCGAGAGATCCAAAAACACAAAGTCAGCCTCGTGGCCTTGCGAGACATCGACTGTACGAGCTTCCACCCGCTTCTGGGCCCATTGAGGGAGTGTCCTGAGCTCATTCTTATACCGCTGGAAGGCAGCCCTGTATGGCGATATTATGAGGATGGTGCCGGGCTCCATCCTGTCCGGCTTGCGAAAATGTTGATCAGCCAGCAACTCCTTGACACGAGCCATCACCCAAGCCGCGTGGCTGGGATTCCAGCATGATGTTCCCTCCGCCTTTTCTCCGACAGATCCTTTTAGATGAACAATGAGTCTCGGTACTCCGCACGGCTTATTGCCAATGAGCCGGCTTAGATAGTTGCGGACATGAACGAGCGGGCGGTTTTCCGTTTTTGCTGTTCCCGAGACCATGCGTCCGTTGTACCAAAGACCGGATGCCAACCGATGAAGGCTGCCATAGGCACGGTGATTGATCAAGAGTTCATGACGAATCACCCGGGCCCTGGCCGCGCGTTCCATCATCGAAATTTGCATTTGTCGCGCGTAGGGATTCTGAGAACCGGAGCCCGCAGAACCGACGTAAGGTACAGTTTGCCGATGATCGCCGCAAAATATCCAGGCGACCGGGTTGAAGTTTGCAATTGCCACCAAGTTGCACAGCTCTCGGGCATGAGGCGACTCATCAAAGAACACCAAGTCGGGCTTGAACATGCCCTTAAAATGATTAGACGCAGCCACAGGGGTTGTCGCAATAAAGTCGGCGTCGGCTAGGGTGTCTCGGTACAGATCGTATACTAGATTGCGAAAACGGAGGGGGACCACGAGGCATTCCTCCTCACCGAACAACTCTTCTTCCATGTACTTCTTGATCGGCTCATACTCCGTATCCTTGTGTGCTTCATAACGCTCCCAGGCCGCTTCGTCGAGACTCGGGGCTCTGCAACTGGTCTCGGAGTTTTGTCCAGTGGTCATCTCTTTGACAGTCGCAAGGAATTGGTTGGTGAAGTCGGCATTGGCAATTCCGCCCGCCGCGGCGTCCTCCGCTTGGTTCAGCTTAGAGCTCCGGTTCACCTCAAAACCCCAACCCTTCATCCGAATGATCGACTTCTTCATGCCCAGATCTTGGTACAGGCGGACCATTCGGTTCGCAACATCGTCGACAGGACTGTTCATATCGACGATGAACAAAACTTTTGCCGACTCATTCGGACGCTTCCCAAATCGTACCATGGGCTCAGATTGAGCCATGGCGATAGTGAACAGATTGAAGTGCGTCTTACCCGCACCAGGCCCCCCTGGGAGAACACAAATACCGCATGGTAGATGGTCAAAGCCGTGAAGATAAGCCTCCTTCTGCTGTTGGTTTAGCATATGAAACCTCTTGCCGAGGGGCGTCTCAAACCAGCCAGGCCGGTCAAGAGCCTTCTTCATGTGTGGCAGTTTGTCATGAAGGTTGACGCGGAAAGCAGGGTTTGTCAAGGTGACAAAGTAGTTGAATGCGTCCAGTTGTCGATCCGTCGCGTTCTGGTAACGACCATGGAGAGACACTAACGCTCCAATTTCAGAATCTTTGGTTGATTCCGAGGCGAAGAGATGGAAATTGACCTTGACGACGTTGGTTGGGTTCAGCTGAGAGACCAGATCAATTTGGTCTGCAACAATCTTGTGATTGTGAGAATCGCGACGCAAACCAGAAGAGTTCCCAACCGAGGAGGCGATGGGTGAAATGGTTGATGATGAGGAGGCTGCTGGGGAGAGACGCTTGGGACTAGTGGCCGCCGAACCGGAAGATGACCCAGTAGAGTCGATAATGGGTTTGTCCAAGACCTCATGATGCTGTGCAGTCGGAACGATTACTTTGTATGCGGGAAGCTTTGCCAGCGGCGAGCTGCTCGATCCCAGAATGGCAACTAGATTCTCAATGCGAGCGACATCCCAGTATCCGCTGAAAGTACCATCCGCAAAGGCGATTCTCACTTTGCCACCTCCACCTTGGGATGGCATCTTGCTATCGCCGTTGGAGCCTGGCTGAACGAGAAGGAGGTATTCGCTGCGCTTTGTGGTTTGCCGAATACGAGTAATGAGCCTGTTAAAAGGCCGTGTTAGTACTTGATAGAGCAGGGGGCTTGAATGAAGACAACATACCAAGCATCGAACTTGAGGCCCTGCCCATTGATCTCATCGATCAACCGCGCATCTTGAAGGAACTCATGCTCCGTTCCAGCCTTGTGGATGCGCGCAAACTCGGCGATGGAGCTGAAACTGTAAATGGGAGAGGACTCCATGATGGTCGACTGATGCTGTATAGGTGTTGTGTTAGTGACTCAGGTCGCGTGCTTGGGATTTGCGAAACAGGGAGCCTTCTGAGAGTCCGACAAGAGTGGAAGGGAAGCCGGCGGGGTGGTGGGGGAGAATGTCGTGGTTGTGCCTTCCAAAATGGATGACGGGGATTGCGGTGGGTGAGATATGCGAAGCCCAATGGAAACCCAAGAGACTGAATTGCAAAAAGAGGTGATCGGAAAGAAGCAATCGATGTGGTGAAAAAACAACAAGAGACTGGCTCCTTTGGTGCTTGGGATAAAAGAAGAGAGAGGAGGAAGAAGGGAAGAAATTCCCACGCAGCCTGCCTTTATGGCACAGAAGAAAAAAAGACTGCTCCGCCAGAGGTCGTGGGGCAAGTCTGTCAGTCTATTCACTTATTCATTCACCCGCCATCACAATAGGTGATCTCCTATTGTGTTCTTGCTCTTGATGTGCTCATTGGCCATTTTAGTGGACGGCTGGGACGACTGTGCTCCGGAAGTGAACGAGGGTGCTCCGAGTGTGGGTGAAGGTGCTGCGTGAGTGGGTGAATGATGTCGGCGCAAGTGGGTGGATGTGGTCGGCGTGAGGGCAGGTTGCTTAACGCGGCTGGGAGCAAGTCGATCGGTCGTGCTCGGCGGCAGAGAAAATTCTTCAGTGGTTGGAAGCCAACCAAATTGCTCATCCTGACCAAAAGTTCAGACAAGATGTCGATGTCTGAGGTTTGGCAGAGCGACGGGGTATTCAGGTGGAATCATGATGCTTTGTTGGGAGGAAGACAGAAGTAGATGGAAAGAAGCAGGTGGAAAGTACCAGTATACTTAGGTGAAGTCGGTTCTTATCCAAATGATAGATGGCCCTGGAAGACTTGGGACGATAAAGTCCCCGTATCGTTTTCACCAGCTGGTTTATTAACTTCAGGTTGAGCCACAACAGCCTGCTCATGTACAGTTTGATTTTGGCAACAGCAGCAGACAAGGAAGGTGCCAGTTTATCAGTCTGGCTGCCACAAAGGTTGAAATGCCAAAAGAAAAAACCAGGGGTATATTGCTAAATATAGAAAACACACTAACTATTGCTATCTTGCTGGGTGATCACAGCAGACTCCTCTCTCTCGGCCACTTCTATTATCCTAGCCAACTTCCAAATAATCCATCTGTGTTTGAACTTTGAACTTTGATCCCCCATTATCATGAGCTCTTGCCTGTCATCATGTGCCATCACGATCATCATCAATCCACCAGTGCCGGCTGTTCGGACCTCCCTGCTTGACCCCCCTTCTCACGTCGATAGTAGTGGATATGCTGCTCGTCATGCTGATTGCCTCGGCGACGCTTGCGAAGGATGGCCGCAACAAACGCCCCGACCACACTGAGTAGCGTCAACACCAGAGAATACAACCCAATCAAGAAGCCAAGGATCTCCGAAGTCTCGCGAAGAGGCGGCCGAGCAAAATCCAACGGCATGTTGTTGTTGGGACCTTGCCTGTTGATGGTCAGCTCGGCACAGACGATCGTGTCCAACAACAGCACAGCTAGCAAAATGGCCCAGGGGATATTCCACAGGGTGAACTGAGTTGGCGAGGTTGTTCTGCTTTGGTATCGATGTCTGATTGTTCGGGACTGAGTCTGGTGAATGCAGGAAAGGATCTCCTGCGTGTGTCGACCACGAGCTTTGCAAGAGTAGCCTGGTGAGCTCCGGACATCATAGACGTACTCCCCTTGACCTGATTCGACTGACTTCTTGCCCTTCCTCTTCCTCTCCTTCTGGCGTAGACCAAGTGCAGCGGGGCCAAAAAAGCTGACAAACAAGATAAACAGGGCAACGGCCGTGGTGATGACAGCGACGATGCAAACTCCGACGGTCCAGACCCGAAGAAAGGTGGCAAACCCTGCATCTGCGAAAGGCTTCTTCGGCGCCAGGACAAAGTAAACGGTTGGAACATTGTCACAGGCGCCACCTTGCTTGTTGCCATTGCGGATAAGTGGCCAGTTTAGTGCCGCCGTCCCAAACATGTACATCGACCAGATGAAGAGCCCGATGGCAGCCGTCAGCTGGTCTTTGTAACTGGTTGTCAGCAAGAAATGCCGGAAGGCATTCTTGGGTCGTCGTGCTCGGCGCTTGATGACGAGTTCTTCAGACGCAATGAGGGCAACCTCATGCTCAGCGGCTCGGGCTTCGGCCACGGAGTGGTTGGAATGGACCAATGCCGCAACGTAGAGATCCCGGAGCTTGTCAATATCGGCGCGGGTGGGAGCGGCTGCAATTTCCTCGATCAGCTCAGTGTTGTAGACTGTTGTCACGGCCCCTCCGTCGGTGTTGTTCCCCAGCTGAGAGCCGTCCTCGGCCGGGACCTCGATCTGCTCATGCCAGTGGGAGACGTAGTGCTGTACCGCATGAACAAGGGCTTCTTGTGCAGCGTCATGATCTGCGTCTGCTTCCTCCGCCGCCGCATGTAGAGCAAATGCTTTCAAAACATCGGAATAGGCTCGTGCTCGTGCCACATCCAGCTCTGTCACTGCTGACTGTCGACAACGCTGAAGACGCTCTCGATATTCTGTGTCGGTCTTGGCTCCCCGCCTCCCATCAACCACCAATGCCTGTCGGAAGAGAACAGTGAAGACGAAGTAGACTGGATACCAGAGCACGAGCTGGATCAAGATGGCGTAGTCAATGATAATCAAATTGTAGTCCACAACGTTGAGGAACATGGACAGAAAGAGGGACAGGGCCAGAATACCCCATGCGCCGTGCCAGAAACGGAATTGCTTGTCAACGCCAAACAGGACGGCAACAATGGCAGCGATATAAAGCAGGTAGAATCCAACACGAATTCCCGTGCCGATGAGCATCTGATCACCAAAGATATGACATGGTTGAAAAGAGGTCACCGCACTCAGTTCGTCGGTCCCCACGAAGCCGGTGCTGGTGATGCCCACGAAGTAGCCCATCGAGTGCAAGTGAGTGGTGATGTTGCTGTGGTACCAGGATGTGTTGATGATAAAGGATGGAGTTTGACTTCCAGGGAAACCCACAGGGAAATGGACGAGGGGCTCTTGAGCGGGAACATGCTCGATCTCATGGAGGCTGCCGACTGGCCTGATAGCCATTCACCAACCGGGGGGGGAAGGGGGGTCGACACACGCATGTGCGACATCTGCAGCCCAATACGACCCCGGCTCCGAGATGGGTGAGGTGGGCTTGCTGTGACGAAGCTGAAGGGCAGACGGCCTCGGGCCCGTGATGGCGGCGCAAGCGGCAGGCGTGAGAGCCGTGATTGGGCAGTCCAGGTTGTAGATGCAGCCCCGCGAGGTTGGGCCAATTGAAGACTTGGCACTCCCTCTCGCCCGATCGGCATTGGGCAGTGTGCCCAACCTCATCCCTTCTGCAGCCACGAACAACACCACACCGCCTTGGACAACTCAGACCCACGACGACTCCAATCAGGAGCTGCCCCTCGTTGGCGGGCTGCAGTCGCATGCAGCGGGGTTCAATATTCGGGGCTTCAACTTCTAGCCCATCAGATGACGCCACGGACTTTTTGACCAAAAGAAAACCTGATGGTTCCTGCCAGGGTCACATCTTGGTTCCCAAAGAACTCTTAGCTCCCATGCTTTAGGATGTCGGCGTCTTGTTCCTGAGCAAGCGTGACTCGGATAAGAATGAGGCTCGCTGCCTCTCCTCTCTTGGCAGTGCTTTCGAAATCTGTACCTCCAACATCATTTTGAAAATGTCGACAAGAAGTGTCCTTTTTGCAGGCCTCGAGCTCTTGGTGGTGGTCTGCTCTGCGCAAAAGAACGAGTTCTTCCGGTGGAACACACCGAGGGCAGCTGGCCTGGAAGGACCATCCCTCGATCGTCGTCAGACAACACCTCCTGGCTATCATCCCGAGTTTGGCTCATGCGGTAGCGGTACAACTTGCGAAAATGCCTGCGGTGCAAACTGGCTGTCGTGCAGGGCGTCGACGGAGCTGTCGTTGTTCTGCTACAACCAAGTGGATCTAGGTCAAAGCTGTTGTGAGAATGGTTCAGGGCGTGCCTGTGACCGTGGATACTATTGCGCATGGAAAGAACTCGGCGGAAGAGTATGGTGCTGTGAAGATGTGAGCTGGCCACTGTTTGTTGGAGATTGCCGAAAGATTATCTGACACCTGTTACCAGGGCCAAAGTCTGGAAGAATGCGGTGTGGGCGGAGGGACCACGTCTGCACCCCCTTCATCCTCCACGGCAACCACCTCGGCGGGCCCAAGCGGCTCAACAGACACCACAACCACACCAACGGACACAGAGAGCGACTTTCCTACCGCAACAGACAGTCAGTGTGCCCCCTCCACCGTCACCTCAAGGGAAACAACCACCGTGGTCTCAACCTTTGAAGTGACCGTCACTGTTGGGACTGGCGAGTGCAACACGGCATCAACTGTGACTTCCCCCCCAGGCAGCTCATCCTGGACCGACACCACGATAACGAAGCCACCAACATCCCAAACAACTCACAGACCTACGGTATGTATACGTATTAATGCCCTGGTTTGATGCCTTGCCATTCATTCGCTGACTGCTTGGGACTTAGAACTCAACGACGACCTCGCCTATCGTCACCGCAGGCAGCAGTGATTTGAGAGTCAATCTTGGCTCATTGGCACTTTTTGTGCTCGGAGTGATGCTGTACTAAAGTTGAATATGAAAGCTACCTATGTGGGTGCGTGAATATGACTGCAAATGTGTGAAATGACGACATGAAGATTGGCTGGCAGCTGAGGTTTATGTTCAGGTTGGATCCTTAGTTGATACCCGGGGGTTGATGGTTAGCTAATACATAAATTTTCTTTACTCTCCTTTTCTTTCTGCCGCTTATACTTGCCTCTGCTTGGCCTGATGGGTGTTGGGTTATCTGTGCCCTGCGATCTCAAACCCGAGCGGCCCCTCTGCATCACGGACATTTCGTGCGACCAGTTTGATCATCCCGCATTTTGAATCGGCTAAGAGACGGGAGAGCTTCTGAATGCCCACCATGGATGGATTGCACCTTTCCGCAGTATGTATAAGATGTTCACGCAACTGCGCATCGATGCCAACAAACTTTCTCGGTCCACCAAGTCATTGCATCATTGATTAGTTCAACATGCACAAACACGGAATTCCTCTTCTCTTTGCTTCGCTGGTTACCTCCGTTTCTGCCCAGAGCTGCCGTCTTCACTTTGATGGCCGCGTTCCGCCAAGCTTCGGTGTCGCTGGTTTCGACACTCCAAATAACTTTTTCAGCGAGACCAATGTGCTCGGAGCTGGGCTCAGCTTCAGCCAGCTCATCCAGCTGCCCGCCATCTCTGCTTCTCTGGTGCGTTCATCTATCCCGAATCTGCTCCTTATGCGTGCGAAAGATACCAACCAGGAAGCAGTTCGACATTGAGACTATTCCCATAGAAGTGACCATCAGCGACGCGTCCATCTTTAACGGCCAGACTGGCTTCCGTCGCGCTGAGCTCCTTCCTGCCAGCAACTCTGGCATCGACGACAGCACCACAGGCATCAAGACCCTCCATTTCAGCATAGGCAAGGACGCACAACGCCCGCTGAATTTGTCTCACGAATATCAGCTGGTGTTTCTTGAAAGCAACGACTTTAGCACCAATCAGTTCGTCTTGAAAACGGGCACCATTCTGGGCGGTGACACAGCTGTCGACCCTGATACCCTACAATTATTTGGAAATGTCAACCAAACCCCATCAAAACTTCTCTTCAGCGTCCCATTTCTGGACGGCGTTTTCCACAACTTTGCTGTTACACTAGACTTTGACACCCTGTGGGTCTCGCTCTACTATCTAGTCACAAGTCTTTGAGCTTATAACTGACGGACAGAACAACAGCACTACCCAGGTCTTTTTTTCAGCCGGCGGGGATCCCCTCGAGGTCGTGAACCAGGTCATCTCCAACGACGTCAGCGGGCAAGGACAGTTCCACTTTGGCTTGCTCAAAAAGCCGACTGATGCGGTTGGCGATATTACAAGAAACGGGTTTCAAGAAGACGGTATCGACGAGGGCATCATCTTTGGCGGCATCTTCCAAGAGGACAGCTCGGCGGGTTGCGTCAGCTTGCGGCCGTGATCACCACTCCCTTCTCCGCGGAGTTTTTCAGCCATTTTCAAAACGTCATTCATAACCCCCAAGTGCCTTTTCTAGACAATTTTTGCACTCCTTTTATGGGCCTCAAGAGATATTCAACAGTTGGTTATTTCATTTTGGCTTTTCAGAACACATTAGTGGCTCCGAGAGCGCCGTTTTTGTTATACAGTATGATTGGGGTATCTCTAAATCAAAATTGTCGCTAATTATGTCACCGTTGACTTTCCCTGTCCGCCTCCTTTTCTTTATCCCTTTGCCGGTCCACAAATGGATTATCAGCAGGCATCTCGTATACTCCCGGTGAGTCCGGTGCCTCGCTGAACTCTGACAGATCCCGCGCCGTCCTCACGGTCCTCACACTTGTTACACTTCTCGAGTCCAGCTCCAGGACAGTGCTATCGCCTATCTCCACAAACGGCTTCTCCGGGTAAGGACATATTTTTGCTTCAACCTTGTCCGGGAGGCCTAATTCACTCACGGACTTCATTTCAGAATCCGACGGCTGCTCCCCCGATAGCTGCTGCGCCCCCCTACCCCGTTGTCTCCGCCGCCAGACAAACCAGCCAACAGCCGTGAGTAGACCAACAACCGCTAGGGTCCCAGTGATGATACCTGCCAGAGCTCCCGGGCTGAGAGTGGACTCGGTATCAGGAATCACAAGCTCCGGCCATTGTTTCCGCCAGCTATTGACGAATGCCTTGACGGGCAGACCGGTCATGTTTCGATCTGTGGGCTCCAAGGATCGTGTCACACTTCGTTCCATATCAGGGCCTGGGGCCTGCGCCAGAAACGTGACGTTTGTGTCGTAGTTGACGCCAAAGAAAGCTCCCTGGAGAAAAGCTCGGCCAAGTTCCCAGATGCCGGTGTTGTAGCTGTCGGTGTCGTGGCATGGAAAATAGGAGACCGGCTCGTCGACAATCGGTGCCTCCAGTGTGAGATTGAGCAGTTTGAATGGGATTTTGATGGTGATGTTGGCTGCTGTTGAGTCGAGGAAGGTGAAAGCCATGTAGCCGCCAAAGTTCATCACCGTGTCGTAACGGGGGTCTGTTGTGTCCCAGAGATAATACCCGAGGTCTTCCTTCCATACAACAGGGAGCTTCGTCGCTGCGTTGGCGCACACGGGAGGAGGGAGGTAGATGCCGGGAACTGCTGGGTTGGGAATGGCGATGATGCCGTTTTCTGATGGCTGCATGAATCGCGCGAGACCAACTCTGCTCGCTTCGTCTGGTACTGGGTTGGGCCACACGCTCCCGCCTTCCCTTTCCTTCTCTGTGGCGCCCTCGTATCCGATGCTGACGTCGATCAGATAGGTGACTGGCAGGCCGGTTGTCTTTGTGAAGACGCCTACGGGACCTATAACTCTGTTTTCTTCGTATCCCCCCAAGATTAATGAACCCCGCTGCTTCAGTGGTACGCTCGCGATGTGCAGCCCAAACGAGCTGGACGATATGAGACCGGCCTCCTTCATCTGGACCAAAACGCTTGTCCCGCGAAAGTTCAGGTCGCTCGGTCGTCCAAAGCCTAGGACCCCGACGGTCGGCTTGGACGTTCTGTTGTTGGGATAAGTGATGACGGATGAGTCCATCACATAGATCGTGGCTTGGACGTTGGCGTACCCGGGCTCCTCGAATCGCAAGTTGGTAAAGGTCATTGCGTCGACAACCATGAGGCCGGATGTCCTGTGGTTGGAGTTCAGATCTGCGAAGCGGAAAAGGGCCGAGGCGTTGTCTTCGGATGTGCCCTCGGTGATCTTGAGGAATGGTTCGGATGCGTTGCTGGAGCGGGTGATGTTGTACTTGCCACCAGCCTTGGTTGAGTGAAGGGCTACCATCGAGGCCGCCGTAGGCCAGACCGGCACAGTGGGACCCTCGAGAGGCACGAGGTGGGACTTGCGCTCATGGCTCCCGAGCAGGACGCCGACAGCCTGCCATGGTCCATCTGGGCCGTAGGTACCTGAGCCAAAGATGTCGAAGTCGGTGGTGAAAGGCATGGAAAGAAATTTTGCGTCGGCAATGCCTCCCAAGGACAAAGCAATGAGGGTCAACAAGGTCGTTGCCCTCGATCCAGAAGCTGAACCCGCCATCGCTGTTATCATCGCCGTCGTGAGCGCGGTCGCCGCATGAGATGGCGATAGTCGTCCGTGGCACCCCGCAAAAGGAAAGATTACCAAAACGAGCGACTGGGTGGGAATTGGGTGGTCGAGGGAGAGAAACACTCCATGCGAGCAAGAGATAGACAGTGGGGAGGTCTCACGAGCCAAAGTCGCTTTATGCTTAAATTATTTCCTCGGAGCCTGCGGTGGAATTCAGGGGCCCCCTAGATGACACTGCGCCGCACATGTGGTGAAAGAGTGGAGACTGCTCCAATGCTGAATAAATACCCTGGAAAATAGTCAACAGGACAACCCTTCCCAGATGTTCATTAGGCATTGAATATGTATGGAGGGCCTATACAGACATCAAGAGGGGGTTCATGACTGTCGCGGGGCGTTTTTATTGTTTTTGAAGGCTTTGGTGCTGCATCGCAGTCTCCATGATTATGTCGTCCCCAACGAGACGCCGTTGGGACTAGGGGTTCCTAGCTAGCGGGACATCGCAAGATTACATAAGACAGCATTAAGCTGATTGGAGAGCGTTTTGGAAGGTGGAAAACGCCCAGGACAGGCTGGAACTGTCCCAAGCACTTAGATAAATTGGAGCATGGAGGTCTCTGTCAGCTTTGAGTTGCGTGGGAAGGTGGTATTCAAGATGACAGCGTTCGGTTGGCCGGAAACCTCGCTTCCCCATCATGGATCGGTAATTCGGTGTTCATATTTGTTGGTCTTAAGGCTCAAACTAATCTACAGCAGGGCTTCCATGAGCTCGTCAAACTGCCTAACAGCACCAAGACCCGTAACACAATCGTACCCCTGAACGGCAGGCCACCCATCCTGCGTGCTGCCATCAGGAAACAGGCACCCATAGCTCTCGCCCACCATCACATCCCTAAGCACCGCCCTCACCTTTGCCGAATACAGCAGAGGGTTCAGCCAGCCGAGACTCTGTTTCCCCGCGCGCATCCTCGCGTCGTTGATCAAAGCCACCATGGCCGCCACGACGGGCGCGCTCGCGCTGGTGCCCAAGACCTCGCTCATTTCTCCACCCATGATGATCTGAAACCCGGACCCGATAGCGCTAATATCCGGCACCGCCCGCCCCGTGCTGTTGAAGAGCCCCACCCGTGGGTCACCGCGACTGACGAACCCGTCGACGTAGGGCTTGACGGCCTCGTCTTGCCAGCTGGGGCGGTCAAAGTAGTTGCTGAACCCCCCGGCGCTGAAGTCCTCTCCCGTAAACGGCGGCGCGACGTTGTCTACCGCCCCGACGGCGGGTGACGTAGGGGCAGCTGGCGGGGAAGGTGGGGATGAACATTTTCTTTCGCCCGGACCCGTCGTTCATGACGCAGCGGGTTTGGCCTGTCCCCGCTGCTCCGCCGTCGCCGCTCGCGACAAAGGTCGAGACGCCCCGCGCTGCGAGGGCGGCGAATAAATCGCAGACTCGGAGGGCGTAGGGTCGGGGAACGGAGATCTCGTCGTCGGCGTAGCTGATGCTCAGGACGTGGGGGAGTTCGGCGTCTGGTTTGGCGAGGAGGGCTTCGAGGAACTCGAGGTAGGGCTCGTTGTCTGTTTCTTCGGGGGAGGAGGGGGTTGCCGTCACGGTCGAGTTTTGTTCCTCTGCCTCCGGTGACGTAGTAGATGACATTGGTAGGGTACCCGAGCGCCATGGCGTACTCGACATCCAGACTGGCTTCTATTCCGGCATTGGCGGGGTCGTTTTGGGGGTTTATGCCGCCGTTGATGAGCTCGACTGTGAAGTTGTATGGACCGGTGGGAGTGGCGGACCGGTAGAGGTAGTCGGGTTGGTATTGAGAGAGAAAGTAGGCGACGTCGGCGTGGAGGATCCATTGTTCTAGGAAGCCCGCGACACCAAAGTTTATGGGGGAACGGGGGGAGGTGGCGGGGTTGTAGGGAGGGTAGGTAATGTTGTAGAGCTGCTTAATGCAGCGAGGGGAGGTGGCTACAAGGCAAGGGTAGTTGCCTTCGTAGGGCTCTTCCGGATCTGGGAGACCGGTTTCTTGGGGGAGCGCCGAGGTGATGGTTGGGATGCCTATGGCCCGGGAGGTGGTGGTTGGTTTCTTGGTAGAGGAGCTTGTCTTTTTGATGGTAGTGGTTGAGGTCCTTCTAGTGGTTGTTGAAGTTAGAACCTTCGGGGTGGTAGTGGATGTCCTCTTTGTGGTGGTCGAGGTTACTTTCTTGGTCGGGGTTGCTTTTGCGCTTGAAGCTGATGCTTTCTTGGTGGTGGTTGGCTTATTGGGAGTTGGCTTTTTGGTCGGACGACCTACTTTACGCGGGGGCATGAAGTTGGTTATGGGGTGCACAAAGTCGATGTAAGCACGGAGCCAGGATGGGATGCTATACGACAATGCCCTGAGAGCGGTGGTCCTGAGGACATTCTCGTCGTCATCGTCGGAAGAGTAAGTGTAATACTTCAGATCAGCAGAGAACAAGTCCTTGACTTGTCGCGCTGTTGCCTCAAAGGAGAGCAAACTCCCCTGGACGTGGAAATTTTTGACTCCTGCGTTGGACCTTAGCCAGGATTTTACTGTTTCGATATTCTTGTTTTTGGGCTGGAGGTAAGTGTGGAGCTGCTCTCTCGAAAGATGGTGGTTGTTACCCCCAAACTGGCGTTGGTGTAGCCTTGCTTTGACTTCGGCAAAGCCAGGCTCTTTGAGGGCGATGGTGAGTGTGATTTTATCGGTGGAGGTGGCGTTGTGGTCGAATGACCAGCCTGGTGGAATGGATTTGGCTTCGACTTTCTCAAGGATGACGGATGGAGAGGCGATGGTGGGATGGATGAAAGCGGCACCGCTCAGCATGGTGAAGAGAAGTGAGGGTAGCATCTTGGCGGAGACATGGAAAGAAAAGAGGGAAATTAATTGTTAGACCGGCGTGTGGTTTGACATGACCCCTTGACTCTCAGCGGGGAGAGGAGGCGAGGCAAAGGATGGCCTGGGCAGATAAAAGCAGCCGGGAGAAGACAAGATCTTGTAAGCTTTCCACTGCACTTTTCAGTCAACAAACATGTCAATCACACCCGTCATGCAAGGTACCGGTGGGTAGCAGTGGATTGATGCATCTTGTATATTACCCATACCCTGCAACCACCAAAATAGGAGGGTATCAATCTATGTATCTTGTATTCCCGGAGCATGTGCAACCTCCTCATATTCATCTTTCCCACTCTCGGGCACATTATCAAAACTGTCCTTTCCCAGCTCTTCTTGGTCCGCTACTCAATAAATTGCTGGTACTTCGTGTAGCCCCTGTAAACGGTCCGCCTCCGAGCTCCAACGAGGCATCAACCAGCCACTTCAGCCGGTTAATTAGCGGTTGTCCAGACCCGAACCCGGCAAGCTGGATGATTGGCCAATTGACTCCGATGCGAAAGGAAACTCGGTAGGCCAGATATTGGGGATGCCAGATTTATCTTTACGTACCAGCAGATGGAACAAGACGGGTCCATCAGCGTTGTTCCGGGCCTCGTGGGGTTACTAACTCCGAGGATCAGGCGTTCACTTGTATCGTTGGTAGGTCGCAGTTTTCCGGCGATAGAAACGGGTAGCATGGTTGTATTGCCACCTCCAGGGTGATGGCTAGACCGCGGGTCACTCCTCCAAAATCGTGGGGAGCCTGTTCTGATCTATTTTAGGAGTCCCGGATGAGGAAGGCTGGGTGTTGAGGCGAGGAGCCGCCGAAGGGCTTTCACGGTCTCCATCTTGCTTGGACAGCCAGGAGGCAACCCTGGAAGAGGAGACCTGGTTTTCGGATCCCTGGCTGTTCTGGCTGCCGTTACTATTGTCGATGCCCTGGTCTCTGGAATAGGTTGGATGACCAGGAAATGGACCACATGTGGATCTGGTCCACCACCACCACACCAGCCACACAACCTTGTTGAGATTACCCCTGAATGATCACACTGGCCACAACAAGACTAATATTGGGTCAATTTCTATGGGAGTTATACCAAAATGTAGCTCAATCACTGTCAGAGTCAGACATTGCATCTGCTTCTCGCTTGCGCCTGGTTTGAACCCGATGACGTGCGCTGCGCCGCACAGGCTGGGCTGGCTCTGGCTGCTCCACATCCTCCTTGGCTACCACTTCTTCCTCCACCACCCTCCCTTTAATGCGGGCCTCTTCCAGTTCACAGAGCCTCACAAACTTAGAATTCGAGTCTTCTCTATTCAACTTACGCCTTTTTCTTACCTCCTGGGCCTTCTGGGCGTTCTATTAGTACCTTGCCGCATCAGCTTTGTGGATAGATGCCTTAGATCTCAGTGTGAGTATAGTACTGGTGAGAGTCTTTGCCGCAAACCGTTTTCCGGCCGGCGTATAGTTCTTAAGTAGGTCCCTGACCTTCTTAGCCACCTAGGAATCCCCTACGGTATAGAAAGTAAGTGTTTTTAAAAAGAGATCCAACGGTACTATAGGGACTACCACCTAGCTTAAAAAGAGCGGTTTACGCCTACGTATAGGCTATAATCCTATCCCACGCTAACCGCTAATAATATTTTCTTTCCTAAAGCCCTATTTATAAATAAAGTTATATAGCCGGACTAAGTCGACTTTACCGTTAAGTATATAATTAGTAAGGGCATCGTTTATAGTTATAAACCTCTTATACGCTTTCTTTACGCTAAAAAAGTAACTAATATTAAGGGGTTAAAGGACGTAAGAGCAGTAGGGGGGTAGGAAAAGAAAATAAATATTATTCCTATAGTACAGGATTATAAAATTATTAATAATATATAAACTATAATTATTATAAATAAAAAAATAAGGTTCTAATAAATCCTTAAATTTAATTTTTAATATAAAAACCTTTTTAAACTAACTAACAGTAAGGTTATTACTAATTTAATTATTCTTTAATATAATTATATATTAATCCTTATTTAATTAGTTTTTAAATTATTATTTTTAAAGGTCTTTACTTTTAAAGATAATTCCGGGGGGAAGGACTTTCCCGTCTTATAAAATACACTTAAATATAGTAGTCTAGGTCCTTCTTCTATTCTATTTAACGTATATAGACTTTTTATTTTATTTCGAAAACTTAATAATTAAGCCGTTTTTTCTTTAGCCTTTTATTATACTTACCTTATTATAGTTATACTTATATTTATATTTAATTTAATTAACGGTAAAATATAAGTTAAAAAACTTATTAATATTTTCCGGGGTAGTTTCGTTAACTTTAATATAATTAATTTTTTTTAAATTTCTTTTTTTAATATCGGAATAACGGTTAATAAAGTATAATACTTAGTATTTATTAACGGGGTTAGGATTACTTTATTTAACTAATAAATTAACCGTTAAATTTTTTATATTAATATAATTAAAAACTTATTTAATTCTTTCTTAACTAATTATCTATTAAATAATAAATTTTTTTTATCCTTAATAAAATTACTATTATTTTTTATAAATAAATTTCTTTATTATTTTATTATTAATTCTTTACTTTAATTTTTAACTTTTAATCCTATATTTATTAAACTCTTTTCTCTATCTTATACCATCTTCAATTTCTTTCTATTCATTTTTAATATCCTCCTCTTTATATTTATCCATTATTTTTTATCTTTATCAAAAAAAAT